GAATTGAATATCTCCTCTTTGACACTTATTATAGAAATGACAACTATCAAAAAGTGCTCACTTTGGTAGCAGTCTTTTCTATAATAAGTGTCAAAGAGGAGATATTCAATTCATTTTATTTAATATGGTACAATAAAATAATGCATGTATATAGTGCCAACATGAACAAAATATATATATATGTTTAAAAACCGAAGAATACATGTTGGTACTATATACATGCATTATTTTATTGTATCATATTAAATAAAATGAATTGAATATCACCTCTTTGACACTTATTATAGAAAGGACTGCTACCAAAAAGTGCTTACTTTCGTAGCAGTCTTTTCTGGCACTCAGTGAAATGACAAGGAGCTGTGGCATCCGGTGGAAAAAAATCTCCATGGATACTTAGTGAATCTGAGCACTCTATTGTGCTGGATACACCCATTGCATAAAAAACAAAATATTTTTGCCAACAGTGCATTGCAGTCTATCTCCTTTGCTTAAACACAAATACAATGCAATTTTTGATATTGAAATAACACGTGGAATGACAAAATATGGTTGTAAACATCCTACTAGACAATCATATTTCATATACTACTATTATTCAAAACTGACTGTACATTTTTTTTTATTCATCACTATTTCTAGGAAATTTACAATTGAATTGTTTTAACAGGCATCTGATAGTATATATAATTAATTCAATCTGAAGATGTCCCAGATCTATTATATGAACATGATTCATGGTATATCCATTAAGTAATATGTAAATTTGATAATGAGGAACTCATTTAGAGACTTATAAGGTTTGGAGACAGCTTGAATGGGTAACAAAGAAATCATTATTACAAGTTTAACATGGCAGCAAATGTACAAGGTTTTGTTATCATCAGGTACCCATTCAAATCATCCCCAAACTTTATTATACTGATATATTGTTGTGGATCTCATATTAGTGTGCAGATGTTGTAAACTTGGGTCTTTGAAAATTATCATAAATGTTTGTGAAAGCCCTTGAATTTTGAATCGATAAGGTTGTATGATCTCCAGTGTTTAAATAGTTTCCATTTTTTGTGAACATCTTTTGCATTGTAATTTTTGTTTTGAAAGCTTGAAATATTTTCTCAACATTAAAAGAAGAGGCAGGAAAATCCATAAAAAATATCAACATTTTATTCAGTTATCGCATATTTGTTAAAATAAGATGTAGGTAAGGTTTCTTATAAAACAATGTAATGCTGAATAGAGTGAGTAGCTTTATGAATATTTCATAATGTCATTTAACTGAACATAATGTTTAAACTCATCTTAGATATCTAATTTTAAATGAATTTAGTATTGAGCTAGCAGTAAAATAACATACATAAACCCAGATTTCTTCTTTGGCGGTATTCATTTCTATTTAATTCTGTACTAATTAGTTTAGTTTTAAAATTTTGAAAAATTTTGTTCATTAACTTGCTGCTTTTTATGGCATTTTTAATAATGTGTATGTGTTTAAACAATGTTAAGTTTATTTTTTATAGGCAAGCACTTGAGTTGTCAGCGAGTGATCATCCTCTTTTGGATGAAATTTGTATATATGTAGCTCAGGATTGTACAGGTAAGCTGAAAATAATAGAAAAAATTCTACCTTTTTATTTTGTTTAAAAAAAAATTGGGGAAAAGTTTCCCCTGAATATGTAAGAGACAATTAGGCTATAGAGTTTGGTTTTCATGTGAAATTTTTTTAATGGAGTTATCCATCTGCTTAGATAAACAAGGTTTGAATTGCAAGCACCGTGTTAGTAATAAAACAAACGCAACTTTAAATCGAGTTTTAAAATGGAAATAACAAATAGCCATAAAAGCCTGAGAAAACACTTTCACCATCTTTCTTCCAACATACAAAAGCCAACTTTAGCATCTTGTTAGACAAACTTGACTACCAACAAAGCTTATAATTATCCATATCACTGAGAATTATTTGTTCTGAGATGATATCCCACCTCCACAGTTTAGCTATCTTTCTCACATGTCTGCCAGAGAGATTTGTATGCCACTTGCCTTGAAGTAACTCTCACCTAATTTCACGTGAAATTACTTGAATTATGTTACTGCATGATGATTATCATATAATAAATGCCCTCCACCAATAAGAGGGTGACACACCTCCATGCACTTTCCATCATGAAATTTCATTCTTCTCCTCAGCATTGTGTTGATCAGACATGTTCAAATTTCTCATCTGAGTTCAGTTTATTGAGATTTGTATCGTAATGAAACTTTGATTTTCATTTTCTTAGGTTTTTGTTTCAAAAGCTTTATTTAATTTTCACAGTTTCTCAAATGACAATGATTTATACTTAGTCCTGTGTGAGTGATGTTGTTCACAGTTAGGCCTTATTTCTACTATGACTTTTGGAGGCTTATTAACTGTCAGGGTCATTTCAGCTATTGTTCAGTGTGTTGTAGTTTACCACATGCTTAATGGACCTCCTACTTCCATCCCATTGGCCGAACTTCTTTCTCTTCAGTTGGAAATGATCTTTTGGACTATGATCTTCACCTCATTTGCTTTGGGTATTACCTTACCATTTGTAAAATGACCTTAACCTTACAATCTCTTTCTTGATTTCATTATCAGGTATGTTTCTTTCCTTATTTTTTGTTTGTGTTCTTTATTATTTTTTGTTTTCTTACTCCCTGATCCATGGGCACCTGCAGGAAGGGGCAAGAGGGGGCATTTGCCTCCCTTACATTTCCCAAAACATTGCACATATTATAATGTAAGCTTAACATTATAGTTTAATTATTTTTAGTAATTTTTATTAAAACTGTAAGTTTGTGTTTGTGCACATACAACATATTATTTTAGTCTGTTGGCTTACACTGTAAAAGCTGATACCCTACATACACGTTCTCCCCCACTGTTTTATAATGTTTCCTTTCTCTAATAACTTCTTTCTCATGCCCAACTGCCTTGTTCACCTCGTTTGTGATTACTTGGTCATAATTTGTAGATTTTTTTGTTTTTCCTTTCTCAATTCCCTGTCATTGGTATCTGTTTGGCCAACTTAGGGATTGGGCTCCCTTACTTTCTGTTTCACTTTCTGGCTTCTCATTTTTGTCTTTTCTTTCTCTACTCTCCTGTATTCCCTTTCTTAACTCCATCTTTTCTCTGATGCACTTATTCATGCTTCATATGGGCTTTTTTTGGAGATGTTCATTCCCCCTTTTCTGTTTGGCCTGTTCCACTTCTGCACCATCCATCTGTACTTTGTTCCCCTGCTCCTTGCAGTTGTTGGGTCAGGTTATGTTCTTCTCCTCTGTACTCCTTCTGTCTGGATTGGATGTCTTCAGTGGGGTTCTTTTCTCACTGGTGTCCAGGATTGTTAATTATATGGCTTCTGTCCTCATTACCCAAGCTTTTTCCTCTTTTTCAACCGTACTCTTTACTTCTATTCTTTGTCTTGGTTAGTCTTCTCCTAATCTTCCAATTCTGGATTGCAGACCTTCCTCTTTTTTTTTTCATCTTCTCTCTACCTGACATGTAGTTCATCACTCTTCTTCTCAGTGACTTTAACACACTTATGCTTCTGTGGATAAACATTTCTTTTCCTGTCATCAATCTCATTTGTACTGTCAATTGTGTTTAATTTCTCCTCCTTGGTCTATTTCCTTGCTCCTCTTCTCTTCACTTTTTTTCCCTTTTCACCTCCCTCTGACCCCATCAATGATCCTTTGTACCCATTCTGCAGTTAGCCATGGTCAATGTGTCAAACACCTTCCTACATGTTATTCTCAACCCATTTTCCATTTGTGTTCTTTGTTTCATCCATCTTTTCCCTATATTCTCTTCTCTTGATATTCCCTTTGACTTACTGTTCTCCTCTTTTGTATTATTTATATCATGAGGGCCTTTGTTTGGCATATTCATGGCCTGGGATTGACATTTATTTTCTTAGACTAATTTCTTTTGTTTGCCCATTCATGGATATTCTCATCTGGCTCCTTTCATTTCCTGTGGATGCTCAGTTGGGAAGTACTTACCCTAGGATCTTCATCCTTTCTCATGGCCACTTCTTGTTTAGTACTTTTGGGCATCTTTTTTCCTATATTTTTCTCAACTGAGTTCAACCTTTTCTACTTCGCCTGCTTACTATGGCATATCTGGTCACCAGATTTTACATTTCTTATTGCTTTGGGGCACACACTCATATGTCTCCTACTGTGGACCTTGCAGCCCCAAGGTTTTTTTCTTGGGATTTGTTGTTCTCTTTTGCAAGCCTCTCCTTGAGGAACTATCATGGTGACTGTATTGTGTCCATACTACTTCCTCTTTACCATTACTGAATCTCATGTCAGATCTCTCCCTTCTTCAATGCTTCCTTTTCTGATTGAGACACATTTCTAATGTGGCAGGACTTCTGATGTTTAGACGATAGACAAACATTCACTCCACATCAACGTGCTCTATTTGTCTGGTGTGTCCCATTCCTGCCTCTACTGGTGGATCATTGGTCATGTACCACTTGGTCTCTTCTGTGGTAGTTTTTTGCACCAACCATTCATGAGGACCCATTCCAGGACTTTTTGCTTTTGAATATTAGGTGTACACTGCCCATTCATGACAGGCTGATTTTCTTGCCTGTCATTTGCTGGGGGGGGGGTCTTAATGCTTGGTTGCTGAGTGCCTCTATTGGCCAGTCTGTGTTTTATCTCCAGAGCAGTATCTACACCCTCATGTCTTTTGTGGGGTTTGCTCTGGGTTGGACACATTTGCCACCATTCTCGACACCAAGCTTCTTCTCATGTGGTCCTCTCTTCCTCGCTCTTTGGCTATGGCTGTCAATTTTCTCAGCCAGGCCTGGTCTCACCCCTTTCTATATGCCTATTCCCCTATTTGTCTTCTCCTTCTGGTCCTTGGCTTTATACACTATTTTCTTTTTTGGGTCCTGTTGTTGGCACCTCTTTGACCATTTCAGCCTTGATCTGTTTGGCATTTAGTCCTTCCTTCCTCTCCTCTGTGTACTCTTCTTCATTCCCCTCTATCATCATGCATGGAATTTTGTCTGATCTTTTTTCCATTTGGCCGAGCTTTCTAATTAAGTGGCATTTTTTATCACTTTCTTTTCTCCATTCTACTGTTTTTGTCTGTGTATGATTGTGGCAGGTTCTTTTGTCATTGGTTCTTCTGCCACTTCTTTCCTCCTGGCCTTCTCACTGTGAACCACCTTTTTGCCTTTTTTACATGACTGCTTGTCATCTCTGCCTTTACTAGTTATTGAGAGGCCTTGTCCTTGGCATTTTGCATTTCCCAGTACCACTAGATGTTTCTTCCTCATTTTATCTTCACTCTGTTCCATTCCTTTTGTTCTTGTCCTTCCTCCTTACCTAACTTGCACACCTATTTGGGACCTTAGTGAGGTTTGCACTTGTACTTGTCCCTTCCAGGCTGTTGGTTTCCTATCTTTTGAACTGTATTTCTCTCCTGGCTTGTTTTCTCCTTCTTGCCTGTGATTACTGTTGTTCAGATTTATATCCTATAGATGCTTCTCACACTCTCTTCCAAAGCACTTTTATATTCCTCTTCTGGACTGATCTTTCCTTCCTCCAGCCTTCTCCTGCTCAGGTGGTTGACCATACTTCTGCCTCTCACCTACTGGACTCTTTGAACCTGGTTTGGCTCATGTGTCCTGTTTGGCTGTTTGGTTTGCCTTCTCATGGACCTCTCCCTTTTGAGGTCCCTTTATATGTTTGTCTCTACCTTGGGACTCCTCATTTTCCATGGATCTCACTATTTTTACTGGATGGTTCATTTGCTTCCTTCAGTTGGTATTTGAATGCTTGCAGACTATCTCACATTTCTTCACTTTGATTCATCACCTTTTACATTCTTTCACATCTCTTTGCTAGCTCTAGAACAACTCTTCCAGGCAGGCATATAATGTGAACACTCTCTATACATTTGTCTTCAGCATCCACAGATTGACATTCTTTGATCTCCCCACTGTCTCCAGTGAAGAACCTTTCCAGACTGAAGGACTGATGGGAATCTGGGCACTTTCTCCAAGGTTCCCCTACACAAATTCTTCCCTCTTTGTTGAATGGAGCATGGGGAGACCCTTGCCACTTACCAGTTCCTGGCTGCTGTGGTGGTGGACCATGGAGAGCCCTCACTGGTTGAACTCAATCACTGGGGTGATGCAAAAGAATACCAAAATAGTGAGAAGTGGGGCAGTGGTGACACTGTCAATGCAGTGAAGGTTATGCTTCATATACATCACTCATGCCACTTGTTCTCTCCTTCTGCAGCCTGAGTCTGTTTGGTAGAGTTGAGGTTAACATGTTATATGATTGTACCTCCTTCTTGCAGCCAGAATCTGTTCTGTAGAGTTGAGGTGTGCATATATTATATATAGACTGATACTGCATAATATGGTGCCTTCCTCCTGCAGATATAATCTAGAATCTGATCAGTTGAGTTGAGGTGATCTACTCATTTATATATATATATATATAATATATATATATATATAGTTTATCTATGTATAGTATACGTACATAT